AAATCATGTCTAATCACTTTTGGGTCATTTCTACTCTTATTTGAGTAATTCCTGATCATTTTAGATCTTATTTGTGACAATTTTATGCTTAAAACATGATTCAAAATGATCAAAGCAATTTCAAACATGCAAAAAAAGACTAGCCAGACTCGCCCTAAAGCCTCGCCTTCCGGACTCACCACTTTGATTTGGTGATGATATCCCCAAAACGCTGCAGAGAGCTTTGTTAAGTGGAGCTCTGCAGGCCTGCTCCACTCCCCTCTTAAAAGAAGAGCAAATTCAAAAGGAACCCCTGTGACTCGAAGGGTTTCACACACAGACTCAAGAACTCGCGTGCTGAACTGAATGCCACATGCCGCACGGCGACCTAGGTGACCATATCCTGAGACGTGTAAGGGGGTGAGAGAGAGAGAGAGAGAAGGAGAGAGGAAGGAGAGAGAGAGAGAGAGAGAGAGGAAGGAGAGAGAGAGAGGAAGAGAGAGAGAGAGAGAGAGGAAGGAGAGAGAGAGAGAGAGGCAGGAGAGAGAGAGAGAGAGAGAGCGAGAGAGAGAGAGAGAGAGAGAGAGAGAGGAAGGAGAGTGAGAGAGCAACGGCGGCTGGCAAATTGTTCAACTTACAAGGGGCCATGGAGAAATGAGCTTTGGCGTTCAAGCAGGTTTGCGCAGTTGATCAGGTTGCGTATCCGAGGTCACCATAGAACTTCGTTGGGCACAGCTCTATGGGCCTCCTCTACCCCCCTGCAAGAAAATGCTGTAGCGCCGAAAGGCGCCAAGGTTGACGCGCGCGCACACACACACGGACTTGGTTGCGGTTGCCACACACCAGCCTAAGTGAAAAGCCTAAGAAACCACCAGGGTGTTTATGTGTAACCTGCAAAGGCCTCCAAAGCTCACGATAAGATCCAAGGTGACTCGCCGATGCATTAGCCCTTTACAGCGCTAGACGATTACTGCAAAACACAGAAGTGGAACAGCTTGTCCATTTCGTAGGCTTCTCTCAAAGCAGGTACGTCAATCCGACGTCCCAGATTGATTTCGCAGACCAATGCAAGCGTCTTTGTTAGCGAAAGGGAACCAAAATGAAAGGGGACAGACCGATGAGCAACCAAACCTCATTGAAGAACTTGTTGTAAAAGCGTAGTTTGTTTGTAAGTTTGTGAGAGCGCCGCGCGCGAGGGAGGGAGAGGTAGGGAGAGAAAAGAGGAAAGAAGAAAAGACAGAGAAAAGAAAAGAAAAGACGGTGTACCCAGCTACGACGCAAGCGTCCAAGGACACACCGAGTGAAGAAGAGAAGGGTTCCCAGCTGTGACGAAAGCGCCCAGGGACACCCAAGCAAGAAAGAAAGGGGAAGGAAAGAAAGAGAAAAGGAGAGAGAAAGAGAACGAGAAAGGGGAGGGAAGAAGGGGAAGGAGACTGGTGTTCCCAGCTACAAAACAACGTCCAGCAACGCCCCAACAAGCAAAAAAGGAAGAAGGGGAGGGAAAGGGGAGGAAAGGGATTAAGGTCCCGGCCGCTCCAGCCATGTACGCCGCGCCAAACTGAGGCTGCTCAGACCGCTCCGGTCACCTAATGGCTTGCTCGAAAGCTGCCTACTTGTGCTCAATACTTCGTCAGGTCTTGACAAGCAATTTTGGCGTAAGCCTCCTACACTCGCTGCGAGCTGCTCTGTATCCGGGCAGGGATACGTTGGGAAAACAGGGGCGCTCGTCGGGCTCGCCCCGGGCTGGCATGAAGCCAGACGCACTTATGGAAATGCGTGCGGACTTGGTTGCGGTTGCCACAAGCCTGCCTAAGTGAAAAGCCTAAGAAACTAGGGTGTGCATGTGTAACCTGCAAAGGCCTCCAAGGCCCACGATAGGATCCAAGTTGACTCGCCGGTGCATTAGCCCTTTACAGCGCTAGACGATTCCTGCAAAACACAGAAGTGGAACAGCTTGCCCATTACGTAGGTTTCTCTCAAAGCAGGTGCGTCAATCCAGCGTCTCAGATTGATTTCACAGACCAATGCAAGTGTCTTTGTTAGTGCCAGACTTGCATGGTCCCTGGCACCCCCGGATTTAGCCTGAAAACAAGACTCAAATGTATGTGAGCGCAAAACGGACAAGAAGGAGAAGGCATGAGAAGAGGGCAAGACAAGACAAAGGTATGTGGCTGCGATGAAAACAACCCAGGTGCCTGGGGACAACCGATGGGCCAGATCTCCCTAGCGACCTAAAACCTGGTTTACATGTACGAGTGCACGCGTACGCTCAGGGCCCGACCAATGTGTGCGCAAAAATGAAAAAGATGCGATGACCAGACATAGTTAACAACTTCACCACATGTTAACAACTTCACCAGACACAGGAGGGGACAATTGGTGGCTGGTGGTTGGTGGTGGTTGGTGGTGGTTGGTTGGTTGGTTGGGTGGGTGGGTGGGTGGGTGGGTGGCGGGGTGGGTGGTGGGGTGGGTGGTTGGTGGTTGGTGGTTGGTGGTTGGTGGTGGTGGTTGGTTGGTGGTTGGTGGTTGGTCTTCTCTGGCGCGACCCGGGGCATCCAATTCACTATCGAAGCCGGGCATCGCTTCCTTTGGAGAGGAGGCGGTCAAGATCTCTTCACTTGCATGGCCGATGTGGCCGAATTGTCTTGCTGCACTGCTTCGTCATCAGGCAACTTCACAGTATTGAAGCGCACCAATTCACGAAGGAAATTGGCATCCACGTTGCCCATTGACACAAGGCCGAGATGAGTGTCCACTGTGACCTCGTGCAGCGGCGCTGGCGACGTGGCAGGTTGAACTCGTTGTCCGGTGGGGTCATCAGAGCGACAGTGGGCTGAAGTCGCAGGTTGGGTCGAATGTGTCGGCGCTCCATATTCCACGAATTGCTGGAACTTGTTCTCCCGCAAAGTAGAGTCAGTGAGCGTTTCAGGGAAAACCTTCTCCATAACCACGGCTGCGCTCAACACCAAGTCGTGATGGATGCCAGTGCGTACATCCAACGACCAAGTCCTGCGCCTGCCATGCAAGTGGCAAGGCTGCGGCGACCAAGCGACGCCAAGGCGTACATCAGACCCCTTGGAGAGCACCAAGTACTGCCCGCGCCTGCCGTGCAAATCACATTGGCAGGCGACACCAGGGCATACATCCCGCGCCTGCCACACCGGCAGGGCTGGCGACCAAGCGACGCCAGCGCGTCCGTCCAACCCACCAAGTACCGCGCCTGCCACGACCAAGCAACACCAGCGCGTGCGTCCGACCCCTTGGAGAGCACCAAGTACCGTGCCTGCCACGCAAAACCCACCGGCCGAACCCCTTGCAGAGCACCAGGTTGGTGGTTGGTGGTTGGTGGGCTTGAGGCGGGGGGAGGAGGAGAGGAGGAGCGGAAGCCAAAGCCCCCACGCGTCAATGTTGGGAAAAACATGAAAAAAGAGGAAAAGTCTTTTGGGGGAATGGATGACAAGAGAAGTAGGAGTGAGTGCTGCGTGTGCATTTGAGGCGGGGACGGTCCCAACGACCGCTGTGGTCTACCCTTGCCATGCCAAAATGGCGGGCTGCTCTGGTCTGCTGCGGACTGCTCACCCTGACGCGTCAAGGTCCGGGGTTCAAAGGCCCAAAGGTGCACCGAGTTCGTAAAGTTCAAAAGTGCAAAGTCCAACTCACAAGTCAAAGCAAACGTGACTGCAGTGAAATACCCGGCGCAACGGCGGCTGGCAAATTGTTCAACTTACAAGGGGCCATGGAGAATTGAGTTTCGGCATTCAAGCACGTACATGCAGCTGATCAGGCTGCATATCCTGAGGTCACCATAGAGAGCTTCGTTGGGCACAGCTCTATGGGGTTCCTCTACCCCCTTGCAAGAAAATGCAGTAAAACACGACTAAGGTTAAGGGTGGAACCTGAGTGAGTGAGTGAGGGCGGGAGTGAGTGAGAGAGAGAGAGAGCACGCGCAGGAAAGAACGGAAGGACCAGAAAAAAAACGGAAAGAACACATCGTCCCGGAAAAGAGAGAAGAGAACAGTGGTAAAGTCAAAAAGGAAAAGAGAACAGAAGCAGGGTTCCACTTACATCCATTTACCGCGTACGTGTCCAGGGACACATCAAACGAAGCAGAAGAGAAAGGAACAGAAGGTATTCTCAGCCATGGCCCAAGCATCAAAGGATGCAAAACGCAAGGAAGCGAAAGAGGGAGAGAAGGAAGGAACTTTAAATGAAAGAGCGGACCCCAGAGAATTTGCATGCTTACTTTTGGACCCTGCTGGGTGCGGTGTTATCTGAGCACAATTGAACCTCCCGCCGAAAAAACCCTGGCAAGAGAAACCCGAATCTCATTGAATCCACACTCTAAATTGGATGTGTCCCAGTGCCCAAATTGACCGAGCGCGTTTGCCCACCCACCTGCACGTGCAACAACCCGTGCGGAGCTGGAATCCGCATGCAAACCTGTTGAACGCAATCACCACGAACATGTAGCAGCACGTTTGGTAGATCGGTAATTAGAAACAATAAGCTACTAGTAACAAGTGCATCGCTTCTAGTAACAAGTGCCTT